GAGGGGCAAGCATCCACTTAGTATTTGGGGTTGGCACCAGCCCCCCAGACCTCACCATCTGGCTCTGACAGCCTAGCCGTGTTGAAATGGACGCAGTGGCAGTGGGTTTAAGTTATAGGTGAGGAAGGCAAGGCTCAAAGAACTTGTCCATGTTCTGAAAAAGAAAGTTATGCTTCAGTTCAGACTCCTCGAGACCCCACGTGTTACAGAATATAACGGCTCCATGGGGTTTGGGGTTTTGTTTTTGGGGGGCGGGGTGTGTGTAATCTTTATAGAAGCAGTTTTCCAAGGCACTGCTAGGTTGCTTCCAACTCCACCCAGCCTTTCCTTGTATTCAGCCACAGAGAGACCTTCAAAGGCCTTCTAAGTTAATGACTGAGGAAACCCAATTCAGACTCATCTGAACCACTGGTCAATGAAGATACACAATGGCTAAAATACATGTCCCAACTTGTGAACCCCCCACTCACATCTTCACATATGTGGTCACCTATTTCATTTACTTTCTCCCACTCTTAATCCTAAATGAAGAAAAATCACAGGTTACAAGTTCAGGATACTTAAAGCAAGATCACTTTAGTGTTATTCAAAATCTTCCTTGTATCTTTATTAAAATAATCTTATCGATGATGGCTTTTCAAGGAAACCAAAGAGTATACAAACAAGCGTGTGTTGTTGTTAAGTGCATTCTGACCACAGCGACCCTATGTACAGCAGAACATGGCTGACCCTGTGCCATCCTCACGCTTGTTATATATGAGCCCACCGTGTAGCCGTGTGTGCCAACCTGTCTCATCAAGGTCTTACTCTTCTTCACTGACCCTCCACTGTACCACCCATGAGTCCAGGGTCTGTTTTCTCCAGGAAACATGTCCAAACGGGATGGGCAAAGTCTGCCCAGCCTCACGTCGAAGGATCGTTCAGGCTGTACTTCTTCCAAGACAGATTTGCTGTTCTTTGGACAGGCCATGTTACTTTCAGTAGCCTTTGTCAACATCATCATTCCGGTGCGTGGATTTTTCTGCTCTCTTCCTTATTCACATGCACGGAGACAATTGAAAATGGCCATGGCTTAGGTCAGGTGCACCTTAGTCCTCAAAGTGACATCAAGAATGATAAAATGTTGATCATCTTTGAAACAGATGATGGATGATAGGAGCTTATCATGCCATTTTCTTGACATTTTATGTATGTTGGAGAATTTTCATCACAACAAGAAGACAACTAGAGCCATATGGTGGAAGAAAGGTAAACACTAGGAGAAAAAGATGGAGTTTCAAGGCTACCCAGAGGTACCTCTGACACACATGGATCAACCACACATCAAAACTCACAGCAACTGGTACAGTAAGAATATTGTGTTAATTCAATTGCTTATCCTCCTGTCTTCCGTCTTTCTCAAAGCAATCTATCAACCAAGACAACCCTTCTGCGAGTCACAGTTCTCTTTGAAATGCCTTAAATGTTTTCGCCTTGTCTCTCCTCAGTTGTCTGTTCAACTTTAAAAGTAAAACCTGTTTGCTAGTTAGAAGTCTAGAGACGTCCTTTGTTGGGGGGTGCTTGTCCTCGCTACTCGCCCAAAGCATCTCAGAATCCGAGTAGTCTCAAATTGCCCTGGCCTCAGCTTCAGCGGAGTGTGCTGTTTTGTCTAGGGCCTTTCGGGATGGCTCACCATTCTTCTCTGACCCTTCCCCAACGTGGTGGGGTGCTCTTTAAAAGCAGCGGGGAGAACTCTGGCCGATGAGTTAGAACAAGGAGCTAGACTTTCCACTTTTTACCTAGCCTTTCGGATTCTTACTCTGCACAGGTCTAAAAAGGAATTAGACTCCCTAGTCTCACTACTTTACAGAATTATCTTGAGCCTAAGATCTTGTGAATGGTTTTTTGTGAGGCCTAAGCCAACATGTAAGGAGCCCTGGTGGCACAGTGGTTAAGCACTCGGCTGCTAGTCAAAAGTTTGATGGTCCCAGCCTACCAGTCACTCAGAGAATGATGAAGCCATCTGCTGAGGTAAAGCTTGTTGCCTTGGAAACCCCATGGGAGAGTTCACTCTCTCCTACAGGGCTCCTGGAGCCCTGATTGTGCAATGGTTATGCATTGGACTGCTAACTGCAAAGTCAGCAGTTCCTGGGAGAAAGGGAGGCTTTCTACTCCCATAAAGAACTATTGTCTCA